TAGATAATAGCTACCTTGGGTAATCCCCCTATTGAATTTGGTAAATATTTCGAAAAGAAATATAGAAATAGAAATATAGAATATAGAAATATAGAAAAAAAATATATAGAATAGTACATCTCACCGATTTTTTTCATTTTGAAATATGTTATAAAGCATGAAATTCCGAGTGACTTTTCCTAATACAATTATAGGGGGGTCGCTTTAGTTTCTGAGATGTTTGACTTTAAAGTTTTATAATTGTACGTTGAAGTATATTTGAAGTAGACAAGCAGTTTTCATTCACTTTAAATGTAGGAAACAGTATAGAAAACAGAGGGGCTCCGCCCCTCCCCCGCATCCCCTTCCCAAATAAATCCTAACCTAACCTAACTTATTGCATCTTTATATATTTTTGGACATTGTTGAAAAAAGTTCTCCTAAGATTTATCACTTGGTTCGACTTAACTTATAATATCTGCATATAATTTGGTGTTGTGGCTTTTAAGGAGATCTTTTCAACATCGCCCAACAATATATAAAGATGCAACAAATTAGGTTAGGTTAGGATTTTTTTGGGGAGGGGGTGCGGGAGAGGGGCGGAACCCCTCTCCCGCTTATATGTACTGTTTTCTATATTTCTATATATACACTATGTTTGGATTAACTGTTTGGATTGTACTGTAAATAACGTCAGCTGATGATATCTGGAATTTAATTCCAGGATAATCAAAATTCCAAAACTTTGAAATCAAATATCTCGGGAACTACAAGCAACCCCCATATAGTTGTATCAGCAAGTCACTCAGAATTTCATCCTTTATAACATATTTCAAAATGAAAAAAACCGGTGAGGTGTACCCTCTTCTATATACTCACTTCTACTTCAAATATACTTTAACATACAATTATAAAACTTCAAAGTCAAATATCTCAGAAGCTATAAGCGACCCCTATATAATTGTATTAGGAAAAATCACTCAGAATTTCATCCTTTATAACATATTTCAAAATGAAAAAATTCGGCGATGTATACCCTTTTCTATATATTTACCTGGAATTTATTTTTTTTCTCATCCGCACACGGAGAATGGTCCGCACATTTTTTTCTACCGGACACACAGTTCGGGATGCAGCCGATGGTCTCACGAGGGAACTCGCTTCCGAGAAATTCCCAGACGCGTTAGGTCCCCCCGCCGGACATTCGCCGCGTTCCTCACGACCTGCATCCTGCGAGAGGAAAGTGTCCCGAAACATGTGTGTGTGTGTGTGCGAGTCCACGTTCTGGACGGCCGTCGTTTGCTGTTCATCGACTGGAACGAGCGCGACTCCAGAGGGGAGCGAGAGGGGCGAAATTATCGACCGATTAACCCGTGACATACCGTTCGTGTGCTGACATATTTCTGCGCGAGGCCTTTAGCCACTTTTGCTCCGACGCGACGTTTATGAATATGCCAAGTTTCTGCGGCGTAATTCGCAAAAGTGCCCGACGGCGTACCAGCCGCGTCTCTTCCGAGGCGATCGGCGACCGGGGCGACAGGGGGATGGCGCAATAAGACAAACATTCCGCTTCGCGGTAGACGCGACGGAATGAACCGCCGGCGTTTACCGGCACGTAACGAACACGATCACGCGACCTCACGTTCGCGGATAATAACCGCGAGACCGCACAACTGCCGTCCCCCGAAGTTGCACGACGCTTTGCGCCACGTCTCGTTACCATTTCGTCCCGAGACGCGCGTCCTCTCCTCCGCAACGTCGCAACGCGAGACGTCGCCAAACGGTCGCCGGTCTTCGTAATCGCTTGGAGAAATCATCGCGGAGAAATTATCGCGCGCGGAGATTAGTGGCACGTAAGGACGACCGTAACGGCCGGACAAACGCCGAGGATCGCGTGGACTCTGCCGCGTTTTTCTCTCGCGATCGTCGCCGTCCTCGAGATCGATCGACTTCTGTTTCGCCCTGCCGGAGTTATATTCCACTTAACCTCTTCTACAAATCTGTCGATTTTAGTCGATTTTAGTCGATTTTAGCCGCTAAGTACACAACGGCTGTTATGTATTTATTAATGTTATACCGATACATATAATTCGTAATTTTTTAATTGAACTTTCAGAATATCTTGTTTTTTTATTAGAAGCGAATTATGCACATTGGCGATACTTTATCATAAAACACATGTGCATCGTGGAGAGAATAGGTCGGATCACCTGAATAACTTTGAAAACATGCAAGATGGAAAAAAAATGTTAAGTACAGAAATTGTAGAGTTTTAAGTGACGCATCATATAGCGATATTAATGTAAGCGATAGTAATGTCTTGAACAGCGTCATCAGGATTACGGGGAAGGTCACCTTGAATTTTTTAGGTGGAAACCCCCATTTTTTATTATCATCTTTTTCTATTAATTATTATGAACAACTTTTGTTCAAATTGAAGAAAAAATGGTACTGGATTTTTTTGCTTTATTTAGTTGCGAGAATATGCTGTTACAACAGTATCGTAACTTTTGTTAACTTGATGATTTTGAAATTTCCAAAAGTCATCAATTCAACAAAGGTTAGGGCGCTATTGTAACGGCAATAATTCTTGAGATCAAGTAAGGTAAAAAAGTCTAATACTACTTTTTCTTCCGACAAGTAGCGCTATCGAGATATCGTAAGTAAAATATTGTAAAAGTTACCAAGTTTTCCTTAAATATCTCAAAAAATGTTAGATGAATAAAAAAATATTTCAGACAAAAATTGTCTAAATTAATTGGTGGAGAAAGATGATATAGTAAAAAAATGGGGGTTTCTATTTAAAAAATTGAAAGTAACCTTGCCATAACCTTGATGACGCTGTTCAATGTCATATTAATGTTGCTGTGTGATGCGTCGCTTAAAACTCTACAACTTTCGTATTTAACATTTTCTTCTATCTTGCATGTTTTCAAAGTTATCCAGGAACTCTGATTTTTTTTCCTCACCCTGTATATGAAAGTATCTCGAGCTACGCTCTAATCTGTGGCTTTGGCGAAGGATTCTCTTAGAAAGTAACAAGTGGAAAATTTGACGATCAATATCTTTTAATAGTTTAACCGTGTACAATTGTGTAATGATGTTCATTTATGTATTTAAATCAGTTCCCAATCGGGGATGCGAAAAAACATTCTTGGGGGTGCGAGGAAAAGTGATTGTAATTAACAATGATTGGGATGAATTCTGGAATAATCCGACATTTTTACCATCAAATTTAAAAAAAAATGTTATTAAAATTATACAATTTTTACGTATCTGTATGGATATATTCATTACGTATCACTAAACGAAGCTTAATATCATGGATAATAATTTTATAATATTAAAATGATAGTTAATTTCTATAAAACAATACTATGTAATAATAAATTATTATAAGTTAACTTCTTATCTTAAAACCCTAACAACTAATTTTTATTATAAAACATGCGAATAATATTTTTTTGTAGGAAGTGCGAAGATTCATTAATAAATTGTTAGGGGTGCGAAATGCAAAAAAAGTTGAAAAATCCTAATTTAAACGATAGCCACATTCGAGTAATCCCGCTATTGAATTGATTACGTTTTTGATTTTTTTTCTTCTAATTCGAACACGGCAAAGTGGTTCGCACATTTCTTCTGTTTTTTTTTTTTTTCTGTTGGATGTCGCTCGGAACGTAGCCGATGAAGCCCACAAGTGGCGAGTTATCTCGCGTTTTAAAGGCGCTGAGTAGGATCGCAGTTTCTATTGAAATTAAATCTGCCATGGAGCCTCCAGAATCTCTATGGATGTTAGAATGGATGGAATCAGGTCGAAATTGTGATTCCGCCTTTCACCTTTCAATATTCCATTCGACGCTAATTTCACGCCTCGAGGCCTGTACATCAAACTATTTCGATTTTATTTAATCTACCTAGCATTACCGAGAGGCTCTCTGAAGAGCCTACAAGTGGCAAATTACGCGTCCCTCGCGATTTACGGGCGCTGAGTAGACCATCCCAGTTTCCATAGAAATCAAATCTTCACACTGATCCGCCGGAATCTACAGACGCCAAACAGTTTGGGTCGGAAACTGGATTCCGCTTTATTCCCTGAATATTCCATTCAATGATTTCATACTCTGTGAAGCCTACATCAGCCTGTCTCGATTTCGTTTAACCTCGACAGCTTCGCCGAGAAGTCCTGTTGCAAGTAGTGACTTGTGCGTCTTCCGGCGAATTCGAAGGCGAAGAGTAAGGCTTGAGTCTCTACAAGAATTAACTCCCCGTTGCTCCTCCAGATTCCGCAGATGTTGGGCTGGAAATAGGACCGAAACTTCGACTTGCTCTCGCAAAGATCCCCGCGATAAGTACGGACGATCCCTCGCGCTCCATTCGCACCTTCGCGTTCGCGTTCGCGTTCGCCCGACAGGACGCTGCGGAGTATCCTCGATTGTTGTTCCGCGCCCGCCGCCCGCCGTCCGCTCGCGGAATCTTGAAGCGAGCCTGAAATGTGCACAGGTAACAGGGTGAGAACCGCGAGAGTCGCAGCGAAGCATCAGCGCGCGCTCGCGGTCCGGAATAGCTCCGGGTGCGCCTCGCGAATCAGCCAGTCAGCCGATCAGCGAGTACTCGCGTGTGCGTGTGTATGTGTGTGTGTGTGTGTGTGTGTGTGGTGCGTGCGTGATGCTTCGACGCGCGAACCTGAAGAGACCGAAATTGTCGTCAAGTCGCGCTCCGCCGCGGGCACTCTGACTCGGCGAGGAGAAACACGAAGAGCACAGCCCGATGGCGAGCTAGAGGTGTGGACCGATGATCCAGAACTATGGAGCTGTTTGTTTGTGCTATGAAACTCGGAGAAGCCAACGGGGTGTCGCCTGACTGAACTCGTCGCCAATTGCGTCATCCTAACGGCAAGCGATAACGCGAGTCTGACGGAGTGATCGAAGCGAGAGAGGAAGATAGACAGATAGAGAAAGAGAGATAAAGAAAGGACAGAGAGAGAGAGAGAGAGAGAGAGAGAGAGAGAGAGAGAGAGAGAGAGAGAGAGAGAGAGAGAGAGAGAGAGAGAGAGAGCAGTTGCTCCGCACCCCGACGAAGATGGATGCCCTGGAGCTGCAAGCCGCCTTGGTGAAGTTGGACCCGGCCACCACGGTGACGCCGATCGGCACCACCGTGAAGCTGGTGCCGCACCATTGCGTCGCCTTCACCGTCAACATCGACGACAGCGAGCTGAGTATGGAGAACTCGCAGCGGGACGGCGACAAGTCAACGGCCGAAGTGACGGCGGCGGCGACAACGACAGCGGCGACGACGACGACGACGACGACGACAACGTCGTCGGCGGCGACGTCGCGGAAGACCCCGGGTAACTGCGTGGCCGGGCTGACGAGCGCGGCGGCCACGACCACGCCAGCCAGCCATCAGAATCACCAAGGTGGCCAACAGCAGCTGGCTGTCTCCAAGTGCGGCATCGTCGAGGTCAGGTGACGCCAGCCGCCTTGCTTCGGCGTCAACGTCATCTACCACACGTACCCGCCGCACCGGGGCAGCAAGCACCACGCCAAGCATCACGCCAAGGAGAAGAGGCATCATCATCATCACACTATGCATCATCAGCATCACAGAGCTCATGTGGTAAGTCGTCCGTCACCGTGATCGCCGTCATCGTCGTCGTCCTCGTCGTCGTCCTCGTTGTCGCCGACGGCGAGTTATGCGCCGCTTGCCGCGGACAAAGACAGGTCGGCGGACAGCAGACGGACACGCGGCGGGGTGACGTCGTCGCCGTCGCGCCGAGCACGCGAGCGGCGATCCTCCGCGCGCGCGCGCGCTATTGTTCGCACTCGGAAGGTCGTCCGGCCGTTTTACGCGCGGCGCGGCGCGGCGCGGTGGACGCCCGCCCGGCGGAGGGTGATCTCGGTAGATCACAGCCGCGGAAATCTGGCCGTCTTTATTCGCGCCCGCGCGAGGTCTTTTTTCGTCTTCTCGATGGGAGGAGGAGGAGGAGGAGGAGGAGGACGAGGACGAGGACGCTGGATAGCGGGGATCTTATATGTCGCGCGCGCGGCGTGCTTTGTAATAACGAATTCTATTCTCGCCGCGACGGGAGAGAGAGAGAGAGAGAGAGAGAGATTTCGTGTCCGGAGGACGCTACAAAGAAGCGCTCCCGACAAAAGCGAAATTCGGGACTCATCCGGGGACTTTCGCAGAATTCAATAAGAGACGGAAGCCCCCCCGGTATCTCCGTATTTCCGTCGCTTCTCGAGGAGCTTAACTCGCCGTGGGCACTCGTATAATGCGATTCGTTCAATCGCGCCCTCTCGCTGCGCGAAACGTGCGAACGTGCGCAGAGAGATATTCTTCGTGATGTAAAGCCCGCGAGATATAAAGAATAATGTTTCGTAGAAATCTTATGGGGTGAAGGACGACGCGAGTCCTGGAGAGGGAGAAAGGAGGAGAGAACACACATCGCGCACGCGGGTTGAGATTGAAAAGCTCAAATTCACTCGTCACCAATGGACTACGACGCGATTTTCCTCGATTTCCCGTTTACTCGGGAAGCTGAACTCGAAAATGCGCCGTTTAAATGCTTGAAGCCGCCGCGAGGCGATTCGTGCGTGCATCCAGCGGCGCGTCAACGACCGACGTCGGCTCGCCCACGCGCGACTGCAAAAATTAATGGTACGCGTAGCGAGATTGAAAATTAAATTTGTACAGCTCCGGTTTCGTCCTCGCGACCGAACGGAATTAAAAGTGAAATTAAAGCGAGAATAACAGGCGCGCTGGGATTAATACTTGAGCAGAGTCGCGAGATTAGTTCCTTCAGGAGCGAGTTCGACGCTCCCTCTCCTCCTCCCCTCCCCCCCGCTACCGAAACGAATTTGGGGTAGGACGTGCGGCTCGCGTCTGAGGTGAATGTCCCAATTAGCGAGCAGGTTCTTTCATCGCGAAACTTCATCATGCAAATGAATTCATTAATTAATAACAGACACGTTACACACACGTCCGAGTGCAAAGAGCTGGTCTTCCCGAGAAGCTCGAGCATTTGAGATCCTTCAATTGCGTTATATTTTTCTAATTTGTGGGAAAATTGGGCTTTCTCTATTGTATTCTCAGAGGTGACGAAATCATCGATTTCGAAAAATATCGTCCGATGACATGACAGTTTCACTTTCTTCACTGACGGTTTATATAATTTTGCGGAAGTTTGGTATTAAATATCTGTCCCTCTAGAATGTCAGCGAGTAACTGTTCGAACTGTCAGCTACTGTTATGCTGGCGCTCGTAGTTGCGATGTTCTCGCATTCATCGTGGCTTTTAATTTTATTCGAAGCTTTGTATGACCGACAATGTATAAAATTTAGAGAGAGCGAAATTACACACGCTTTTATACATGCAGGATGTATCACAGAATCGTAAGAGTTTGGACGGTGGAAAAAAAATGGTGTGAAGGAAAGTTGAGTGGCTTCATTTTTTCATGAAGTAAATTTTTTTATTGGTGCAATGACGCGCGTCAGAATGCATTTGCATTTTTATTTTAAATAAGACCTAATTCCTGCAAATATTTTGCGTAAAAGCGTAATAGAGTGAGATGACCAAAAAATAAGTAGTTAATGAGATATACGAAAAATCTCAGAGAGGGGGATTCTACTTCAAACAGAAATGCAATTACATTTTCCTGGTGCGTCAACAAAAAAAATTGACTTTATGAGAAGATAGGATAAATATGCATAAAAGGTAATAACCTCTCTGATCTTGTTGGAATTGAATATATATTACAGGATCAAACCGAACCAAACCAAACATTGATACTAGTCAAAGCTAACCTAACTCTACCGTATACTAAAAATGGAAATTTTACGAAGATTAGTAAAGACCCCTACGCGAGATTAGCAAAAGTAATAGATACATACTCGTCCTGCAGAAAATTTATTAAAAAATCAAAAAGTTTAAAGCCGATATTTCATAGATTAAATAGATCAATTCCTCCTAATCTCGCGTAGAGGTCCTCGCAGTCTTCGTAAAGTTTCGATTTTTAGTATATGATAGGGTTAGGTGTCAGGTCTTGGTAGACTTGGTTAGTATTAGACTCGGTTTGGTTAGGTTAGGTTAGGTTAGGTTTTCTGGCGAATAATTTCTATCACTCCTATAATATTGATCCAATTTCAGCAAAATCGATGAGGCGTAACCATTTGTGCGTATTTACCTTTTAACTTTTAAATTTTAAAATCATATATCTCGGAAACTACAAGTGACCCCCAGATAATTGTATTAAGGAAAGTTACTCAGAATTACATTCTTTATAACATATTTCAAGATGAGAAAATCGGAGAGGTATTACCTTTTATTAGTATTAACTTTTATGCATATTCATCGCGAAAATAGCGCTCGTTAATCCATTCAACTCTCCCTTGCACCGTTTGTTTCTACTGCCCAAAGTGCAATAGATGTTGACAGTCATGATTCTGTGAAACACCCCGTATACACAGGGTGTCCCATTTTAAAGGACCCACTCAAATATCTCAGAAACACTGCGTTAAATGGAAAAATGTTTAAGACAAAAGTTGCTTAGCTTGAAGGGGGACATAGGACAACGATAGCATTTTGTTTGTAGATGGCGCCACTTTGGAGATATCCACTGATTATCAGTTTTCTTAAATGGAAATCCCAGTTTTTTATTATATCATCTTTTTCTACCAATTAATTTAAACAACTTTTGTCTGAAACATTTTTTTATTTGCTTAATATATTTCGAGATATTTAAAGAAAACTTTGTAACTTTTGCAACATTTATCTTACGATATCTCACTAATTATTCGTTGAAAGAATAAATAGTATTAGATTTTTTCACTTTATTTACTATCAAGAATATATTACTATAATAGTGCCCTAACTTTTATTAACTTGTCGACCTTTGGAAATTTCAAAATTATTAAATTAACAAAAATTAGGGTACTATTGTAGTAGCATATTCTTGATAGTAAATTAAATAAAAGAGTCTAATACTATTTTTTCTTTCGACGAATAGTTAGCGAGATATCGTAAGGTTGGAATGTTGGAAAAGTTACCAAGTTTTCCTTAAATATCTCAAAATATATTAAGCAAATAAAAAAATGTTTCAGACAAAAGTTATTCAAATTAATTGGTAGAAAAGGATGATATAATAAAACATTTGGATTTCCATTTAAGTTTTTTAATCGGTAATTTCCATTTAAGAAAATTGATAATCAGTATATATCTCGAAAATGGAGCCATCTATAAACAAAATTCTATCGCTGTCCTATGTCCGCCTTCAAGCTAAACAACTTTCGTCTTAAACATTTCTCGATTTAACGCAGTGTTTCTGAGATATTTGAGTGGGTCCTTAAAAATGGTATACCTTGTATAACAGACGAACATTGGATCTGATTTATTAAAGAAAACGGCCGCAATTGTCGCGAATTGGACGTTCACCTTTCGTTATCAGACCGCTTTCTCTCTCTCTCTCTCTCTCTCTCTCTCTCTCTCTCTCTCTCTCTCTCTCTCTCTCTCTCTCTCTCTCGCCGTACATGCGCTGCATTGTGCCTGGCTCCGACTGTTGCCCGTGCGTTTTCTTGATGAATTTTTCCTCGGTGCAACGGCGCTTCGCCGCAGTAACGAATGTGTATCATGGAGTCAGCGGACAATACGACACGCTCTGGCTGCCGGCGTTCTGTTCGCTTCGCGCACGCCAGCGCATCCGCGCGCATAATTCGACACAGAGGACGACGAGCGGGCGCGCGCGTGCCGTGACGGCGCACGTATACGCTTCTGCACAGCCGTCTCTCTCTTCCTCCCTCTCTCTCTCTCTCTCTCTCTCTCTCTCTCTCTCTCTCTCTCTCTCTCTCCCTCCCTCTCTCTCTCTCTCTCTCTCTCTCTCTCTCTCTCTCGCTCTCTCTCTCTCTCTCTGTCGTGTCTGGCCGACGTAAGGAGAGCCGCTCGTGTAGCCTTCAGTTAACAGCCGGCTTTACCTGCCTAGCGGTAATTCCGCGCTCGGTAATTAACGAGCGTGCGGGAGCAATCAGGCGCCGATGCGGCCTCGGTCGCGCTCGCTGCGCTAACGCGGCGAAGAAGCGGCGGATTAGTGTGTTAATTTTTAACGGGGCTTTCGACGTGCGACGAGCGAGGATGCGAGGATGCGACGACGCGTGCATGCGGAAGAAGGAGTCGCGAGGAGTTCGTTGAGCAACGCTAATTTTATTTGCGTTTCATTAGTCCCCGTTTACATAGAGCCCGCGCGCGACGGCCGGCGCCGATCCTCGCCGCCGCTGGGAGAGGCGACACATCGCGAGGAATTCCGGGAAATTAATCCATTAGCGCATCAACGCCGCCCGACTCGCGTTCGTCACCAAGTGCAAGCAGGGTGCTCTAATTGTGCCGCGCTGAAGAGGATCGATCTCAGAGGTCGATTCGTCGTCGGGGGTGAAACGGTGTCTCCGTTGGTCGGCGTGGCTCGGTGTGAGCGAGAGAGAGAGAGAGAGAGAGAGAGAGAGAGAGAGAGAGAGAGAGAGAGAGAGTGAGAAGGGGGGCAGGAGAGCGCATACGCGACTACTACTACTTGTCGAGTGTGTGTACACACAGCTTGGCGAGCGTGCGTTCGCAGCTGC